TGATTTAGCAGGTTTACAATGTTTGGTTTAGGCAGGTTTACAATGTTTGGTTTAGACAGGTTTACAATGATTGGTTTAGATAGGTTTACAAAGTTTGGTTTAGGCAGGTTTACAATGTTCTGTTTAGACAGGTTTACAATGTTTGGTTTAGCCAGGTTTACAATGTTCTGTTTAGACAGGTTTACAATGTTTGGTTTAGACAGGTTTACAATGTTTGGTTTAGGCAGGTTTACAATGTTTGGTTTAGGCAGGTTTACAATGTTCTGTTTAGACAGGTTTACAAAGTTTGGTTTAGCCAGGTTTACAATGTTCTGTTTAGACAGGTTTACAATGTTTGGTTTAGACAGGTTTACAATGTTTGGTTTAGGCAGGTTTACAATGTTCGGTTTAGACAGGTTTACAATGTTCGGTTTAGACAGGTTTACAATGTTCGGTTTAGGCAGGTTTACAAAGTTTGATTTAGGCAGGTTTACAATGTTTGGTTTAGGCAGGTTTACAATGTTTGGTTTAGACAGGTTTACAATGATTGGTTTAGATAGGTTTACAAAGTTTGGTTTAGGCAGGTTTACAATGTTCGGTTTAGACAGGTTTACAAAGTTTGGTTTAGGCAGGTTTACAATGTTCGGTTTAGACAGGTTTACAAAGTTTGATTTAGACAGGTTTACAATGATTGGTTTAGACAGGTTTACAGTTCGTACATTGTATTTAGTTTAGACAAGTTTCTCTGTGTGCCTCCCTCTAAAAATAGAAACCACTTCATGATAAGCACAAAGCCTTTCAAAACAGAGAGCTCCAAGTGACGTCTTTGAAGTTGATAGTCACCCGTTAACAGGAGAGAAATGATAATTCCTAAGCGGCTTGCTTTGTGTATATTGCTAAAATTAGACTTGAGTGTTGAAATGACTTCCCAGATAAACAGGTTTTTTTGTATTGAAGAGATTGGAAATTCTGAAAAGGGGGATGTTAGATTTTTCCTTCACATCGTTTTGAGCTAGATTCATCTGAAAATGTCTATGGTTAAAATACTTGTCCTGAATTTTAGGCAAGAAAAATATTGAGCACTGAAATAATTAAAGGTAGTTGGCTACGGTACCATTAAAACAGATCAGATTTCCTTAACTTTTGCTATGTGGTTTATTTCATGGAGTTTTCACAAAAACCCAGATAAAAATATATGGTTACTTCTACTTTTTGCACAAAACATAGGTAAAACAGCCATGAAAACAGTGATTTTTATGAAATTTACTATTCGGTTCTATTGTCTCATCATTTTATTCAGTTAAATATGGTGAGAAAATGATATAGTTCTGAGAGGGGTATTCATGGTTGTCACAAATTATTTCTAATGAACACTATTTTTTCTTCAAAAAAGGCGCTTTAAAATATATTCCGATGAAAATTGCTCCCAAAAAAATCAATTTTTGCACCGACCCCCCACCTTCGATACAGTTTTCCCAAAAACAAAGCTATAATTTTTTATATCAAAACTTTCTCTGTGCACTATATTTTTCCCCCAAAGCTACTCCACCACCGAATAATTGAAGGAAGGAAAATTAACGATTCACTAATTACTGTACAGGGAAGTGGACACGTGTGTTAATGTACTACAATACCACCTGATCTAGAATTTATCATGTTTGTGTATTTTCAAATCTTCATCAGAAAAATATATATTTTGTTTTTAGAAAGACTACAAAAATAGATAGAAAATAATAAAATATATATAAAATTAATCAAACGAATCACGATTTGCAGAAAATAAAAGAATATTTTGGGTTAATTAAATGGAAGAGGTTTCTATTTATAATTGGTCATGAACTTCAGTGAGCAATAATTAACCTTTTCCCCACCAGACTATATCATCCAAATTTTCTGCCCATTTTTTTTTAATATTCTTCAATATTTCTGGAAATGAACCTTAATTTTGGAGCCAACTGACAACATTTTAGTCAATTTCTAGTTTTTACTCAGAAAATTTTGCTATTTTTCTCCCAATTTTCTGAAGGAAAGTGCAGACTATAAATGGGAATATTTTCTGAATTTGTGATAAAAAGTGGGAACCAATGGTGATAAGGGCAAGCTCCCACAAGCAAAATATTGCCAATTATTTTTATTTTAAATATACAACTATATTTATAATTTGGTTTCATATATATTGTTTATATGTCAGTGGAAAAATTCAGAACTGGCAATCTTGAGTTAGAGGATGCAAACAAGATGAAACATCAGAAAAAAAATTTAAGAACAAAAGATAAATTACACTTTTTAGAATATGCTCAAGGTATAAAAAGAAAAACATTTTTATATGTTGAAAGAAAGACTATATTTTAACAACTAAATGCCAAAGGCATATTTTTTCACCTTTCAAAAATAGTTATTCCAAATTTTTTCAAAATATATGAAACATGTAGGCAATTCCCATTTGGTCCAAATTAATAAGAATTTAGAGAAAAAGTACATTCGAATTTGCAAAACAGTGTACTCAAGGTAGATATATGAATTATAGAAACGAAATACCTTTATAGATACTTACCGAGAATAGATTCAGTGTCATTAAAGGACGTAAAATCAGCTCTAATACGGATAAAGACTACTAACAACACACCAATAACAATGAGTAGTCTTCTCAACATGGTTTGGTCTAATAACATTACACTGTATTCTTCAAAAAACAAACCAATATACTACCTGAACAAATAATCAAGAAAAACATGTACTGTATTAAAAGGATGTAAAATAAATAACACTCACCACACTAAATATATCCATATATGTTGTGAAAAATTAGAAAGCTTAGAAGGAACTCTTGTGGGCTGGGGTATTGGAGAAAATAATTGCAATTTAAATGAAATATTAAACTGATATAGCCAAGTGGTTTAATATGAACATTGTGAAAATACAGAGGTAATCTGATTCATAGTATCTGATATGTATGCAAATTAGGTAATTAATATGCAGAGAGTTCAACCCCAAATACACCTGGGGGACTTATGACCAAGTTTCTATGAAATTAATCACAGTGCATGGGTTAGAAGATATCAAAAGAAAGGTTTAAAATTGGCAAATTATTTTGCAAATTAGATAATTAATATGCCCAAATCCAACCAAGAACCTGCTCTGTAGATACCTTGAATCACCCTTGTACTAAGTTGAAATCAGTAGAATATAGGGAAGGAGCTTTTAAGTGTTTTTAATAGACTGACGTAATTATACATTACCATCCTACATCAAATCTCTATTTAACAACTCTATATTTATTTATTTCAGAATCATGAACATTACAGTAACACTGGTAGAAAACTACCTTAAGAACACCTTGTGATATAAGCATACAAAAATCCTTCAAATAAATCAAATGATGCTACACTCAGATGACTAAACACATTTGTAAAATCAAATTCTTAAAGTAGAAACGCTAGATCTGATTACACAAAAAAATGACATGCTTTGAGTATGTGTGACCATTGATGATGCAGCTAATAGTTTTAGGGTATATCAATATTGGAGATAAATTGTCTGTATATAGATTTATTTATAGTATATAAATAGATATTTTAGAAATATCCACAATATACAAAAATACATGATTACTGCATCTTTTAAGTATACATAAAGTACTCTCAAAATATACTTGAAGCCTGCCTTGGAACTAATGAATTGACCGATGATATGTTTTGGATGTTGTTTTTCAAAACAGAAAATCAAGAAGCACTTTAAGAATATCATAAATAATTTTAGAAATCATAAAAATAAACTTTACTGCATTTGTGAAAATTTCATGGAAGTTGATTGTGATTTACATTGGGTTCAAAATGCAAGTTGATTGTTATAAGATGGTTTGAGAAATCACAAAAGTTACAAGAATTTATGTCACAATGCCTCAGAAGTAAAGAACACTGAAAAGCAGAAACCTTTCAAGTCTGAAATATTAAGACGATGCGTTTCTACCAAATGAACACATATCCGCATAGGAAATATCTGTCTAAACGGAAATGAATGCCATAAAACTAAGAGAATACCTTTGTACATGCACTGATACCCATCCGTTGCAGATTCACTTGAGCAAGCAAGCCAGGCTATTTAAGAGCTTATACAGGAAGCAGCAATGTGACGAGTACATTTACATATAGCCATTCTGATCATCGTCATAGTCAACTGCTATAATGAGCTAAGCCACTTTTAAGATTAGTGAAAATCTAGAACACTATTGGGGTTAAGATGGTATTTATTGATAGTGAAAATTATTTGTTTGTAGTAATCCAAAGTAGGAGGCGTGGGTGAAAAACATTAGGGTGGGCGTAACAATCTGTATAATATATGTGGATATTTTGATACTGCAGTATCTGGAGAGTAGGCTTAATGCTGTATCATCACGACATGCCTTAAGAAGTAATTAAGAATTATCAAATATAGAAATACGATATAGAAGAATAAAATGAGAGAATTTGTCATTTTTGTTAACGCCAACTCTTCAACATTTTGTAAGCAATAATTTTCCACTGTCCCAAATTTTGCGTTTTGCACATTTTATTTATTTTTCAATATTACTTTCCGACAAAATGGACTTAATTTGCTACTAGCTGAAAGGCTTGAAAACTAGTTTTGAAAAAATTATGTTAATTTTATGAAATGGGATATAAATTGACTTCAAAAGACACAAAAGGCAACTTTTAGATACTACGATCTCTTTATAATAATTGGCAAGTGCAAAAGAAGTGCTTCAAGTAGCGGGTATTGGCTAATTTGATTGTCTATGTTATTACGTCATTAATGTTTATCAATTGTATTTTTGTAAATTGATTCCTGTGTCTCAAAGTATGCAAAGTATTTGCTTTTCTGAACCTCTTCTTTAATTGCTGGTCTCAATAGAGTTAGATTCCACAATTCATGTATATTCATAATCATCAAATACGACACATTAAGAGTCCAAAGACCCAAAAAGCTACATAAAGGATTTGGGAGTGTAAATATGTATGCACATTTTTTATAGCTCTCATTGAGAGAGCTTTTATTTAAAAAATAAAGACATTCTTTTTACTGTGCTCAATAGTGAAGCACACTTTCAATAATTGAACTGATTGATGTTCAACTGTGAACACCTGTTGATATCGACGAACTAAAGTTTTTTTTTTCCATGAAGTAATTTATAACCATTAATAATAAAATATTGAATATAATATCATAAATTTAAAATATTAATTAGTTTAATAAACAAATTCAAGACTACAACTGTTAATGTGTAGTCATAAAATTTTACTGTGAAGCACATTACTCTATACACTAACCTACTTCTTTGCAGGTGCGAATGAAATTATGTTTTCCACATGCACATTCCAATTTCCTGGTCTCGTGTCGCTTAACACCCTATTTGTTGGATCGTCAATTTGAATCGCAGCAAACAGTGTAAATTACACTGAAGTTTTGGCAACAGAGAATGTGATTGCCTGGTAGAGAAACTCAAGTGTTTCCAAAATTTGCACATTAGTATTCAGTTACTACATTCAGTTTTCATTTTCTTAGGGGGTCTTACAATATAGCAGAGTCCCCCTAAGCCACCTGTATCCTGTATTGTCCAATGTAATATCTAAGCCATCCATATTGTGCAATATAATATAAACGATCAACATAAAAAGATGGATAATTTATTGCCAATGACAACTTACAGGACTTTTAACATAATCTCCTGCTGTTTTTCTCATTAAAAAAAATAGATTTGAAAGCAATTGCACGTTAGACTTGTTCCATCTAATATTAACATGATATACATAGATAGAAACATGTGAAACAAAATTACATAGTTTTGAATTAAAACACAGTGGTCTTATTAAACAGCATATACATTCAAATTTCAAATTAACAAATAATGTACTTTATAGCATTTTATAAGTCACACGGGACCTATATCAAACACGACATGCAACAACAACTGTGTTCCATTAATTATTAAGATACCTATAACTCACTTTATGAAAATTGCTCCATTTATCAAAAAATGTTGACGAACATTGGTAAAGTGTGATTATACTTTACTTCTCAAAAGCTATCTGCTATTCATAATGAATCTGTTATTTATAACTTAATTTATGATATTCATCAATTAATTTGAATATAACTGAAACTAATGTATCCTCAATGACATCATTTATCATAGCATACCTTCAGCAACTAGTGATTCAAACACACACAAGGTGGGTAATACGCAAATTTAATTTTGTCGACAGATGGTCTTTTGTCAGATTTATGGCCATTTTTATCTACTTTTTGCCAAGTTTCTGAAATATAAATGAGGACAACTTGCAGTGTAATTACTATCATTTTAGTAATCGCCCACATCTGTGACATTACATGCAATTCCAATAAAACAGCATGTTTTGTTGGCCACAGAGGTATCTAAAAAGATAGTTGCTCTTTCTGGGTAATGTTCTCTTACCTAATAACAATCGTAAATACATTATCATCCTTAGGAGTACCCATTAATTATATTATCCAGTCTGATCTTATCTAGGCTGGGGGGTTGGGACCATTTGTATTACAGGTGTAGTAAACGCCTATTGGTGGTTCATATGCAGCTTGCATAGATACATATACCAGCCATAAACCAAGAGTGGGTGGTATATTTGCAATGTTTATATAGGTCAAGTAGATTATCCTACATACGCACAGCCCTGCTAGATTTATCAAGTCATGTGTGATCATGTAACAAGTGCTGGAGTAGTCAACTGCAGTAGGTGATGTCCTCCTCGATTGTCAAGTTGTATGCGATCACGCTATAAGAATTATGTAGGTCCTATTTTGATAGTGATCAGGCGTCAAAAACTAAAATATTAGTTGTACCCCTCTTTTCCAAAAGGGTAGCGGTTGAGACTACAGGCATTCATCCATCTATGTATATATTGCTTTGCGATGACAATGCCTCTTAAATGCCCTCCTTGATTTGTAAAGTTGTATGCGATCACACTATAAGAATTATGTAGGTCCTATTTTGATAGTGATCAGGCGTCAAAAACTAAAATATTAGTTGTACCCCTCTTTTCCAAAAGGGTAGCGGTTGAGACTACAGGCATTCTTCCATCTATGTATATATTGCTTTGCGATGACAATGCCTCTTAAATGCCCTCCTTGATTTGTAAAGTTGTATGCGATCACGCTATAAGAATTATGTAGGTCCTATTTTGATAGTGATCAGGCGTCAAAAACTAAAATATTAGTTGTACCCCTCTTTTCCAAAAGGGTAGCGGTTGAGACTACAGGCATTCATCCATCTATGTATATATTGCTTTGCGATGACAATGCCCTTTAAATTTTCAGCAACCTACCTATGTGGTGGTGTACAGGTGGTAGCAACTGTAAAGGCTCAGATTTTCATTACGGCACAGTGCAAGACAATCATTCTTTAAACGAGGTGTGGCTATGTATAAAGTGTTCTCTTGATCAATTGCATAGCATGTCCTTGTCATATGGCATTGATTGACAACAGTGGATTAATTCAAGTCTACTCGGCTTGCTTGCCCGTGCGTGTTTTTTGACCTTCCTGCAGCGAAAACTCAACACGTATGCTATTATCATGCTGTAACATTCATAGTCACAAACGCCCACTTTTGGGCAACACAGTGACCTAAAAGTGGAAGAAAAAGCATTTACAGGAGCTAGAATTGCTAGAGACTTTTGTTTTGTGACACTTAGAAACC